AATTTAATTAAGATTTTTTTACCCTTATTAGCTATGGGGTGTCCCCTACCTACCGACGTCCCAAGTTCTTGATATTATAACAAAGAATATCCGCAACAGAAAATTGTAAAAAATGAAAAAAAAAAACATTTAATGTGGTTTAATGCAACTATGCTTTTCATTCATTAAAATTATTGCTAGAAAGGAAGTTTGTTCCTCATCTTACGCCATAGCAAAGTTTGATATAAAAGGATGGAAAATACAATATCCTGTCGTAGCTTCTAAGTAAGCAAAACAAAATTAAACCACATCAAAAAAAATGTAAATTTTCATAAAAGAATTTTTCATCACTTTGCTTTGTTGAGCATCATGTTGGTCTCCATGACAGCATTAAATATTATTTTTCGTCTCTCTGTGTGATTACTTTAATTTCTTTGCTTTCTAGTCTTATCCTGTGCTGTAATTTTGAGAGTATTTTTTATTTGTGGGAGTAAAGGATTTTCGGATAATATTTTTATAATGTAGGCCTTTTGATCCTTTTTCCATATTATGTGCTTGTACTCATGGTGGAGGTTTATCTTAAAGTTTTTTTTAAATAAGTAGAATTTAAGGTTTTGTAGAAATTGAATCAAATATCTAAAGGTTTTTTTAAGGGGTCATTCACTTATGACGTCCATCAAAAAACCTGATTTTTTGAACCCCCTCCTCCCCTCTGTCACAAAAATTCTATAGAAAAAAATTTCCATTGTTTGAACTGTCACAAAGTTCTAGACCCCCCTCCCCCTCCCTAAATGTCGGACGTTATAAGTGAACGGCCCCTAAGTTAATTAAAGTTTTTGTGAAGACATTAATAAATGACGTCTTTCACAAATTCAGGTGGAGGCATAGGCAGGGTAGATTTGGGTGCGAATCTCACTACGTAAACAGAAATTTCTTCATTTTCTTAGTATTTTTCTCATAAATCCCCCCTCCCTTCCTACATTTTAACACCCTTTAACACATTCTTTTAACTTCTTTCATTCATGCTTATGATTTAAAGCAAAGTGGCCTGGTCAGAACTTTGAGAGGGTGTCATTTCCAAAATCTTTAAAGTCAAAGTACAAGACTACTTCGTACGTTAGTTCTGCCAAACACAGGGGGGTCATCATAGATAATGTTTAATACTAGAACATTTGGGAAACCCAGAAAATCAAAGAAATTTCGACTCAATAAAGTGATTTTAACCTCCAACCTCCAATATATTTTTTCAATATTTAACAACCATCCTTGCACATGCCACGTGTCTCTATAAAACCCCACACACTATAAAAATTCAACTGAAATTCACTCAAAGGATTTTATGTGCATTTTTCTGAATAACTTTTTATCATCAATGTCGATAAAAGCAGCAATGCCATTGACTACGAATGCAAAAATGTTACAAAATAGTCGTAATGAAACAAAGGAAATATATTCAGGGAAGAATCGATGCTCATCCGTGTTTTTCGTGTGCGATATTTGACATAAATTTATTGTTCGTTCTGCTGTAACACACTTCATTGTCGTAAAACATGTCGATGTTGATAACGAACGGAAGAAATAAAAGAAATTTTTTGCTTCATTTCGTAAAATATTTTGGTTTGAAAGGGCTTTTTTTGGTACAAAAGTTGAGTTTTTTTGAAATCTTGTCGGTTCTGTTAAGTTTGAAGTATTCTTTCATGTTATTTGCATTGTAAAACTATGAAGGAAATACAGCAGATAAATAAGCATTCTACATTCAATCCTCGAATGCTGATTAGCGATGCTCTTTAAAATGCGCTTCCCTCATCTCAAATAACTCCCACTTCGTATTCCCTTTATATGCTCAAGAGAACAAGACTTTAAGTGTTCCTATGAAGTGCACGATATAGAAAGGTCATATAATGAATTTTCATGTTTACGGACTGTCGATGCTGCTACGCTTTTCACATTTTACTCTTCTTTGAATTGTGGGCAAATAACAATAATCATCGATTATTTATGGAACTGAAATTGTTTTGGATGATTTTATTGTCAATATTAACAAGGCTTTTATGAATTAGCTTCAGGGGTGTAGCATAGAAGGTAGTTTGTAGTTGAGAAAAATAAAGATTTAACTTCATTCGATTTTGTTCCTTAAAAAAATTTGACCCGTTCCACAAAGTTTGCTGGACTGAACAAAAATTCAGCTCCCCTACACCCCTCCCTTCTTTATCTTTGACAAAATTTTAAACTAAGTCCCTGATTAGCTGTAAAAAAATCATTGTACAAAAGGTACATCAGTAGCCGACAGCATTACATAATAGCACTCATTAAAGCACATGAATGCTTATTTGTTGAAGTTCACTTTCTATCTCAACAGCCAAAGCAAAAATGTTTAAATTAACACGCGCAAATGACGTAATGAAGATAAATTTAGTGGAATGCTTAATGCTTATGTACAATTTTTTTTCCAGCTCTATGACTTTAAATAACCGTAATGAGATTCTGTCCTCTTAAAATCACATTTTTCTTTCTTTACTCAACTTGCATTCAACTGTGGATTTATTTAATTATAAATTCAATTAGGTTTAAATTTTTAATACCCCGGATAATCTTTTTATCATTTCATCCTCTGTTCGTAATGGATATCCTCAGTTCCTCTTCTTGAAAATGTCAAGAAAAATTCACCTTTTTTGGGGTCGTTGCAGGTTGTTCCGAGCAACATATCAAGACATTTCCATCCATGATGTGCTGCATGAGTATGTATCAATGGTTCTTATGTATATTCTAGCCAGCTTTTGAAGATATTAAGTACTATGGGTCCTCGATTTGAGTAGATTCGATTTGAATAGGATTTTTCTGGAACAAAACACCTCCTTAAATCGAGGACTCCCTGTACTGACTCAAATCTGACGAAAGACAAAGCACAGTATCAAGTCAATACGTCGCTAAATCCATTACCCAATTTAATTCTTATTTTTGAACCAATATTCCGTCCGGGAACATTATTTAGCCCCAAAGATACTCAAAAAAAAAAAAGAATAAAATTTGTTGGTAAACAAAATGTCAGTTTTATTGCCTCTCGGCTCTTCTTTAAGAGTTCGGATGTTTCAATTTCAACATGAATTGCGGGCATAAAGGTGAAAAGATTTTTTCTTTTGGTATCCGTGCGTAGGTTTGTAAATAAATACATAGAATTGAAATGTCTGTGACTGGGAGTTTATGAGAACTTGAAGAGTTGAACAATGTTGATTTTTGAATCTTTCATTTTTTCACTGCCGTGTTCTTGGAAATTTTGTTGTTTATTGGAATAAATTTCCATTTAAGAATTCAATATGTTTTTAAATGATATTCCTAATTTTATGATAACTTTTTAGAATTCTTTTGAAATTAGAAATAGAAAGGCAAGCAACTTATTGTTTATTTTCTGTGTGGGATTTTCATTCATGGTTGAGTTTGCTTCATTAATTGATCACTAAATTAAATATATATATTTAATTGATAAGAAGCACCTACAATTGCCTGCCTGCCTAATATTGGAAAATAATACAAAAACTTTTTTATAATTGTGTTTTTCATTACGTAATTGATGTTTGGTAATCATCAGCACGCCTTGTCGCTAATAGAGCAATACTTCTATTGCTTACTAAAGCAGTGTTGTTCAAACTTTTATGATTTATGGTATACAATAGAACGTACGTTTCCATGGCACGTCTGGAGCTTAAACTAGAGTCAGGCGCGAAGCCAGGGGATAGATTTGGGGGACAAATCCCCCCTCGTCTTGAGAAATTTCTTAATATTGCTAGAGTTTTTATGAAAAATTCGAACCCCCCCCCAAAGTTTTGCATACAAAAAAAAATTGTCCCCCCTCTTCAAATTCTTGGCTACGCCCCTGACTAGAGTTGATATCCTATGGAGCACTAAAAATGAATGAAGTGTTCCGTGGAACACAGTTTAAGAAACACTGCATCAACAACTTTTAAAACAGACCATCAATTGGTTCTCAGAAGGATATTGTTGACAATAATTATATACAAAATACTACGTTATTTTTGACAGCAGGGGCGTATCCAAAAATAAAGTTTTCGGAAATTCAGAAATTAGATTCTTCTCAAATAATGCTGGCTATGCACTTGAAAATTATAATTTAAAATACTTCAATATATTGACAATCAATATTCAATGAAACTAAGAAAGGGGTCGTTCACCTATGACGTCTAAAAATAACGGTCATTTTTCAAAAACGAACAATAGATTTCCAGGAATTTCTATTGTTCGTTTCTTGCTGAACCCCCACCCCTGGACGTCGTATGTGAACGGCCCCAAAGCAAAGTAAAAATTTCTTTCCTGCCACACCAAAAAACAATAACAATCATCATCCAAACCTAAGCATTTAACTTTTCAATGCTTCTCATTAAATAGCTCATTAAAGTATGAACTACAATCATAGAATCAGATGTTAATGACATGGATAGAAATCAATGAGAAGAGAGTAAAGAAAAGAAAAGCAAAAACGAGGAGAAGGAGGGCAAAAAAGCAAGTTCCGACTAACCACTTCAAATAATTACACGACACACATGCATTGAATATTCATAACAACAAAGCCAAGACGAAATAGCATTTGCTTTATTTTCATTTCTCGCTCGAATGAAGAAAAGTTAAATAACATACATTATGAATGTATGCAGAGGCGTAGCTGGGTTTTTAATGAGTAAAGGCAATTCGACCGGCACATATTGAAATTCATTGAAATGTTTGCAATCCTGCGGTCGGGTTGAAAATATAATTAGAACCAAGCGGTAGCTTTAGACGACCTCTGAACACGTCAATGGGCCCAATTACGCCCCAGCCAATGAAGCAAGGAATTAAGCTGAAGATTCAGAATGCGGTATACCTAAAAACAGACCCCCCTTGCTACTCTACTGATCTTATGTACGCAAACAATGTTACTTAATTGAATTAAAGCATCAACATTTTATGCTCAACACTTTTACTCACTCATATTTTTTTTTTCGATTTCAAAATCTATTCGTAGTTTAGCTACCGAGTGTTAAACATCAACGAGCATAAATTGGAAGCGTTGTAAGAGAAAAGAGAAAGAAGAAGTAGAAAATAACCAGTACTGTAAATGGCGCTTTGAACTTCTTTCTCTGCTCAGTCTCAATGTTTTCTCTTCTTTTTCTTTCGAGACCAGTGTTCAAATGAAATCGAAAGTCTTTGTCTGTACATTATTATTTTGGTTCCAATAACTTGCCAGTGTTAATTTAATTAAGAGAAGCCACACACAAAAAATATACTAAGTGTCTTTATTGATCACAACGAGTTGCTTGTTGCTCATAAAATTCACATTTTGAATAAGTTTGTGATTGAAGCTAGTCATCAACAGCAGTCATGACAGCGGTTATGGAAGGTTTGTTTATGAGAAAGTTCTCTACAAATTTGATTAATGAATCAGTGCTGTGCTAATTTGTGGAAGTGACATTTTCTTAATTTGCATCAATTAATATTAAACAAAATGTCCCCTTAGGAGTGACGGGTGTGGCAAAAACAGGAGGACATAGATATGAAGATGGTACACGCTATATTGGCGATTGGAATCAGAAGGGACAAAAACATGGAATGGGTCATTTATTGCTAGCAGATGGTACTCGATACGGTATGTGCTGTGTGTTGTGATTCAAAATTTATAGCAATTGAAAAGCTTGTAAAAAAGTTTCTGATGCTGATTGAGTGAGTGATGAAGGCGCAATTTTATGTTGAAGTAAACATTCTTTTGGACAAGAAGAAGACAAGCTATAAATTTAATTTACACAGTGATTAAAGATAACTGGAAAGAAAGTATTGAAACTTTCTTTAGGGCTCTAAAGGGCTCGTTCTCTGAGGGGCGTTCACTTATGACGTCCAGAAAAAGGGGGGGGGGGGGGTTTGCAAGAAAAGAACAATAGAAATTCCTGGAAATCATTTGTTCTTTTTTGAAAAATTACCGTTAATTTCAGACGTCATAATTGAACGATCACTAATGACGTCAAGGGGGGTCTCATAATTTTGCAACCCATTTTTCATCAAACTTAATTGAAGTGTCACAAAATTCTCAAACCACCTTACTTAAATAAGAGACATCATAAGTGAACAGCCCCACAAAATGTTCAAATAAATTACTCGACATGAAATCATGTAAAAGTAAATGCCCCATGAGGCATTAATAATTATTCAAAACAAAATAATAACTTTCAGTATGAATGAACCTTATAAGTGCTTACAAGAAAAGTTGTGCTTCACAAAGTTTTTTATGCTCACTTTAAATATATTTGAGGAACTTCTTTAAATGGTCAGAGAAATAAATGTTACTAGTGACGTAGCAAGAAAGGAGGGATGGGGGGGGGGGGGGGGGAGGGTAATGAAAAGTTTGTAACCCAAAATGAATGAAAATTTGAATTATTTTCCATAAAATTTTGTTATCAAAATCGTAGGCAAATTCATTCATTTCCACATTTTACAGATGGTTCATTTCAAAATGGACTGTGCAGTGGATTAGGAATAATGAATTTTCCTGATGGATCAAAGTATGTACGATACTGACATAGATTCCAAATTAAAGTTACTAATGTAAATATTTTCATTCTCTCTCATTCACGTTCGCTTGTCGAGCTTAGGTATGAAGGAGAATTTATGCAAGGCTGGTTTCACGGAAATGGAATTTTCTGGCGCTCTGACGGAATGAAATATGAAGGTGAATTTCGTGGTGGACGCATTTGGGGCTTAGGATTGGTAACATTTTCAGATCACACGAATGGATTTCCACGTCACGAAGGATTTTTTCAAGATTGCAAAATAATACGCAAAAAAGATTGTCCTGACATTATACAGCGGGCGCAAAAAATTGCTCTAATGGCTCGCATCCAATGTGAACAACCAAATTAACTTATTTATGTAATTTACACTTTTTTGCTCTTATTAACGTCGTCATCTTGACAACATTATGTCACTTAAACTCCTTGTAAATGTGTATATTCTGTGGATGTATTAAGTTACATTAAGGTATTTTTGGTCGCGACAAAATGGAATTTATTTTTGGGTTAGGAGTTGTTCATAAATGATGTGCTTTGAAAAATCAGAATCAGCTTTTTGTGAACTTACAATTACTCTTGGCTATATCCAAGGTAGATCTTTTACCCTAAGGCAGGGGTAGGTTTGTACCATATACTAGGTGAAGTTGTTTATCAATAAATCAGACTCTAGGACAGTGTTGTCCAAACTGTGTGCCACAGCACACTGGTGTGCTGGAGAATTTTTTTTAAATGACGTGAGCTACATGCTGTGTGTGAATTTAGTAATGGCTTACCCCTAAAGTGTGCCGTGGCTTAAAAAAGTTTGGACAACACTGTTCTAGGACATAAAATTAATCAAATTACATCATTTATGAACAACCCCGTTCATCGAAATATTGGAAAATTTGTGCATTAATTCCACGTGGCTAATTTTAGTCCTTTAATTAAAGATGTGAAAAAAAGTACCAACTAATCGATATCGAATCTATCCATTCGCTTATTATCAATTAAAATGCGATACTCGAAGCTATTTTTGAATAATTTTACATAAATTAAACATAAATAAACTGCTTCATGACGTTCCGTGTACATTTTTAGAATTTCACAACCTTTTTATTTTGAATAATAATGAACAGGTAGAATGCTTACAAAGGATGGAGAAATTCTTGACATTTAATGTTTTAAACAATTGTAAAAATATACAGAAAAATTTACTGTGCTTGCATGAATTTTACTATTTCCTTTGACATTTATTTAACAAAGAATTTTCCGCTCTTGATCTCAAAATAAATTTAATAATACAATTAAGAATGGATAGAAACTACAAAGTAACCAAACAAATGATGTAAATGACAGCAATCAAAAGTTCATATTGAAATGCTTTTTAAGCTCTAAATTGATTATTTTGTTATAGAAAATTGATTTTTATGTTAAAAAATATTGTGAATAAAAAAATGTGAAAATGAAGAAAGTTGTTAATTTGATTACAGAAAATTACACAGATTTAGGCTGTGAAGTTGTAGTATTTAGAGTAAGTTTCTTTTATTTGAAGATTTATGATTTATAAAAACAATAGTTTGTGAATTATTGAACTTCTTAGGTTCCAGATTATTTTATTGAATTTAAACAAAGTTTTAGAATAAATCGCAAGATTTTACCTTGAATCAGGCATGACTACAATGTTTTTGTCTAGAAACCTTAAAAAGTGAATCTTTTCAATGGTTTTTAAACTTTCAGTCATAAAAAAATTGCAAAGCACATGCATTTTATCTTACTTGCTTACTTCGCTGGTCGTACAGATCAATTGATATCCGAATATTGCTGGAAACTCCATCTATTGCTGGATACCGCTTGCCAATTTCCAATACCAATGAGTTCTTTGGCTTTGCACGTGCTATCCTGCCATTTACAAAGTCTGTTTTGCGAACCTTATTTATTGGAGCTTCCACAGATCTTCTCACAACATGTCCGGCCCATCGAAGTCTATTTACTTTTATTCGTTTCATGATGTTAGCTTCTCAGAAACAGCTGATAAACTTCAACGGTGCTCCCACATTTGAAAAGGTCTCCTTCTCTTTTTGGTCCAATGATCGCTCTTGGGATCCTCCTCTCAAAAACACCAGTTGCATACTCATCTGCTGCGGTCATATTATTTTATCAATACTTAAAAACTACAGGAAATAGAATTGCTGAGCATTCTGAAATTAGCAACAAGCTTCAAATTAAACGTTTGAATCTGATAAATCAGATATTGATCAATTTGGTGTGCTTTAATCATTTCCATATCCATGCTTTCAACTAAACTCGACATGAAATTGAACCAAAAACCTTTGGCATCAACTCCCTCTACTTATGTCACAAAACAATTATGACACAGTTCAAGTCTAACAAAAAGCATTCCAAGACAACTCTCATTTAATTCACAAAACCATCCAAGCAGAGAAGACTACGAAAGTTTTTCTATCTACAAATTGACTCAATGTGTGTCCGACACAAAAAGTTTATTTTTTTTTTTATATATTTAAATGGAGATGCTTTATAAAAATTATTTGCTGTTTTGTTAACAAAAAAGTTTTAAGATTAATTGCTCTTTTAAATACTTTAGTCTGTAAAAAAGTTTTCAATTTAGAAAATCCTTTCGATTAGAATGCAAATTTGACTTACTGAAATGGAACCAATTCCAATGAATTATTGGATCTGTTCTGCAAAAATATGTTTTCAACTAAGACCACGATTTGCACATAATTCTGGCTGATATCAACGTTTTTTTTTTGTTCCAAGCTGTCACTTAATATTTACTATAGGGGGAAAGAAACTAGCTTTCTATAAATTTCTCACTTGTTTTCTCCCTTGTTGGTCTGTAGGACTCTTTGTAGCACCTATCCTGTACATAAAATATCAAAACTAAAGGAGGATACTTTGGGTTTCCTTAAATGCTAATTCCAGCAATTGAAAAATTTCTTCATCTAATGGAAAATTGTTAACCAAGTTGTTTCCCCCCTGTTTTTACTTTACTTACAGAAAACTTTCTTTTTTGGCATCCATCTTACTCCATTGGCTGGTTTCTGTTTTCCTAGGACATTCAACCCATGGCAAATGTCTGCAATATTATTTTTTGTTCACTTAATCACATTCTTTTTACACTTAATTGTTTGACTACAATAGACACATACATAGCCGCATAGGAGTGGAAAAAAGAGAAAGATAGAAATGCCCTAGTTCATGCCATAATCTAATTATCTTTGTATAGGATGATGTGAGGATGTATACGAGTGCTCTTTTCAAGCTAGAAAATGATGAATGATTATTTCATTGTGTACCAATAAAATTTATTATTTTCATGCATGATGCCATAATTGTGGCGCCTGAGGCGCTTGCCTCTTCCTCCAGACTCATCAAGAATGTGGAAAGGTTCATTTACTTGCCAGTTTTTTTTTGTATGACGTTATTAGCAACACATTTTCGATGTCTCACGTTTTTGATAAATTTTGCTTTACTGTTGACTGTTTTTAGATGTCTTTAGCGCTGCTGCTTAGGGGTTTGCTTTGAGCTTTATTGTTGAGATGATATTAGAGGGGACATGTTGCTTATGACAAGGGCTAGTTGCCTTTAGATCGGCCAGTTCGTTCGTTCGTCCGATAAAAATTACATTAAAATTTGTTTTTTGTTACTTTTTCATGATAATTTTTAGATATTAATTTCAATTTAGTCCCAAACTAGGCATAAAAGTTGATAAATAATCTCTGACTTTGTTTACATAAATTGAGAATTGCCAAAATTATAACTTTTTGGACCTGATTCTCAAAACCAAATTTTGGCAGGTGAGATTCTCAATTTTTGGTATAAAATGATGCAAAATTTCAAGAAGGACATCAAAGCGAATCAGAACTTTCTAAAAACAAGTTTACATTCAACCAAAAAATTCAAAAACCAAAAATTCAAAAACCACATTTTTAATAACATTTTCACCAAATTATTCAAAATCAAAATGGGAATTACCGCAGAAGTCAACATTTTTGGTGAAGTCAATCTTGACATTCTAGTTAAGTCTAAATCTAAGACTCAAAATAAAGACAAGTCCTCAAAGAAAATTATGGACATTAAAAACCAACCTGACACTAAATCAAACAAGAGAAAATTGGACGAAAACTTGGATAAGGAAAGTAAGAAACCAAAAATTGAAGACAATCGCTCAAAACTGAGCAGCAAATCCTCAAACGAAAAGACAAAGAGCTCGTCAGAAGCTCCAATTCAAAATCAAGAGGTTAATTTTAAGATTCCAAAACTAAGCGATAAATCAAAAGTAGAAGGAAATTCAAAATCTTCCTCAAACGACGAAAAAATTAAGGACCGGTCAGTAAAGAGAGATGAAAAATCTCGAAAGCCTGAAAAAGTTCATGAATATAAACAAAAGTCAAAGGAAATCTCAAAAGTTCGTGAAATTTCTGGTAGATCAAATTACATCAGCAACAACAAACCAAAGGAAGAGACAAAGAAACCATCTTCAAAACCAAGGGAAGATGTAAAGAAATCTTCCTCATCAAGAGATACAGTTGAGACTAAAAAGAGACAAAAATGCGAGAACCGCGTTAAATCAGAAAAGGAATCTAAGAGCACAAAGCCAAAGACAGAACTGAAGAAATCAGAGGTTCCTTCAAAGTTGAAGGAGAAGAGTAGTCAGAAGACTGAAAAATCAGAAAAAGAAGTAAAGGTTGTAAAACCAAAGGAAGCATCTAAGAAGTCTTCAGAAAAATGTAAAAACGAAGACTCTAAGAAGGCATCAGAAAAGCCTAAGTCCGTCAGCACAAGAAACCCAGAATCATCTAAGAATTTGAAAGATTCGGAGAAGTTGAAGAGCTCCAAAGTTGAAAGTTCAAAAACTGTCACTGAAATTACAAAGAATGAAACGTCTGAGCCAACGAAACAGAAGGAAACATCTCAAACTGTACAAAAATCAGTCGTTGAAGCACCAAAACCTGAAATCAAGCCAATTGTCAAGTTTTCAGCACCAAAAGCTCCAATTTCGAGTGGAAAATTGCAAAACTTCATGAAAATGTATGAGCAATCGATGAACCACAACGAAGAATTCAGCTCATCGGAAGACGAAGAATCTGAGGATGAAATTCAACAGGAACCTCCAAAAGAGAGGATTATATTAAGAATTAACACTTCAGCGTTGAAGATGAAAAAGGTTGAAGAACTTCCAACAAACCCGCAAAAGGCTTCCAACAAACCAATTGAAAATCATCAATCAATTGAAAACGTAAGCCCAATGGATGTTGAAGAAGTAAAACCATCAACGAAACAAATTCCTCCAAAAGATGAAGAAGAGTTCTTAAAGCCAGTTCAAAGAGTAGAACAACGCCAGTCACTTCCAACCACATTCAACTGTCCAAAAACAGTTCAAGTGCCACAGCATTTAACACAAAAGTCAGAAATTGAATCATTGGAAGTTGAAGAAAACTGTTCAAATCCAAAACCAGCTCGTAAACGAGTTGAACATCGTGGATCGTTCAACGGAGTAAATACTCAAAATTCATCTGAAAATCAAACCTTAGCTCCAAGAATTGAAGAACCAAACCGAAGAGTCGCTAATCGTCATTCATTGGGAGAAATGAATGAAATTAGAAGAAAAGTAGAACAGGCACAAGGAGTCAAAGGTCAACCTCAAAAGCAGCTTTTTGGATACCCTCGACAGTATGATGTCAGTGAAATAAAGGGCGAATGGAACCGAAGTATTGATGATAGATTGATGCAGTTTACAGATGTTCTTGATCTGTCTAGAAGATCAGATTCGTATCTACAAATTTCCCATAAGAATCCCCAAGATGTTCCCCGACAATTTGTCAACTCACGAGAAGGATACAAAGCTGCACAACCGATATCACAAAATTCTAGCAGAGTTCCCCAAAATCAAGCTCCAAAGACAAACATGGAAATTGTTGAACGTAAACCAAATGGACAGAACATGATACAACATCCAGTACTAAAACCTGAAACAGTCAAAACTAATCCACAAAATATCCGAAATATGCAAGCAAAAGTTACTGGACCAGTTCAACATCAACCAAAACCAGTTCATAATGTTCGACCAGTAATAAGACCAGCTAATCAAATCCAACCAGCAATAAGACCAGCTAATCAAATCCAACCAGTAATAAGACCAGCACAACTAATCCCACGTGCAACACAACCCACTAGTCAGATTCAACCTGTGATAAGACCAGCACAGCTAATCCCGCTTCCAACGAAACCAGTTCAACCTCCAAGAAAACCAGCTCACCAAATACAACCTTTCGTAAGACCAGCACCTAAAGTCACAAAACCAGTAAACCAGGTTCAAAATTTATCAACAAGTTCTGAACAACAAGTTCAACTTCCAACAAAACCAGTAAACCAAGTTCAACCTCCAACAAAACCAGTTCAACAAGTCCAGCCTCAAGCAAATCCAATAGATCAAGCTCTTGAAGTCAAGGAACGTCTTAAGGAAGCATTTAAAAATATTAGCACCAAGAAAAAGGAACCAGTTAAGAAAAACTCGAACCAAAAGCGTCTTCTTAACATTGGCAAAATTCAAACTGCAATCAGAAAGAATAATCAAGTTAAGGTTCAGAATAATCAACCAAAAGTGGCACAGGACAAGCAATCTCCAATGGAAAATCAATCAAGAGAGATTAAACCTATCTCAAAATCAACAGAAATGCTTAAACCAATCGAAGCTGTTCCTGCAGAAGTACCCAAAATTCAAAATGCTAAGAAATTGGAGATGCCAATTGCATTGGATGACTTAGATGTATCATCAGACGACAGCGATGACTCATCATCATCGTCATCATCAGACAGTGATGATTCATCATCAGATGACAGTGAATCTGAAGAAGAAGTCGGTAACTTCGCAGCAGCAATCGAAAATATGGTTTGGGGAAATTAAATTAAAATGTAAAAAAATTTGTAAATAAAAATGTAAATATTTTTTAATAAGAACAAATTGACTAAGTTGTAGCTTTATTTTCAACAATTTATGAAGTTGCTCTACAGTACAGAATTGAGATCTTCTTTCTAATTATTCATCCTTAACCTAATTCTTTTTGTACTTTACATAACATCATCATTCTTCCGATTACTGTCCCATTTTATAAGCCTTTCATTGTTCATTCATTCCTTGTATATTCAGCATATAATATCTTCCTTTATAATATCCAAAATAATAACAACTTTGATGTAGCATTTTATCATTCTTATTATCTATTAAGTAGCATGTACGAATTAGCTCATGCTGTTTATCTTTGTGTTGTCGTCAAAAAGAAGATTAATTACTATGGGACAGTAATAAGAGGTAGATCATTCCTTATAAATGGAACATCATGGAGTGAACATGACACAAGGAGATGATGGCAATTTAGCAAGTCAATTTTTTCGGCATGTACTGTTCTTTTTTCTCTCAAACTGTTGACCACCCACAGCTTCTTTAAGCTTGTGGAAATGACAAGGGACTAGATGGCTTTATTCTTCCTTTTGTTGGGGTTTTTCAATTTTCTTTCGATAGGTATGTTGTGTGCCAGTATAAAGAATAACGATAATTATGCATCAATATGTGCTCATAAGTCATGCAATAAACAACATTTTTTAACTCTTTGAGCTTTAGCTATGACTTTGGGATTATTTATTACATTTAAGAGAAGTAAGGATTGATGATATCTGTCAATATTTCGTTCAAAAATGATAAATGAGAAGAGGTGAAGCACATCGTTGTCCTATTCTCTTTGTAACAACTCTGTGAGTAAGTTTTTTGTAACAAAAGCACAAACATGGAAAGGGGTTGAATTGCTTCAATAAAGAAAATCAATCATTTTGTCATTAACTTCCAAATATATTTTCTGTGGACTTTTTAAGCTAGCTTTAAGCTTTTCAATTGTAAGAAATTAAATCAATATTTGAAAATGCTTAAAGGAGTGGTGTCAAAGCAAGGGACAGCTTCCAGGGCTCTCTGAGTACCCAACCAATGAACTCAAAATCGATGTACCATCAAAGTTCGATTCCTACAAACACTAGGAGAATTAATAGAATTTTGTTGTTGCAATAAGATCAATCTATAAACCAAAAGTAATGAATATACACACAAAAGTGAATAAGAAGCAACCGAAAAATTTCTCACATTAATCCAAACTTATTCCCAACTTTGACATAACAAAATGGCTAAAATAGCTTTTATATAAGAAGACAAGTCAAATTGTCAGGAAAATTTATTACAATATGTATCTTTTATGAGCTTCCTTACTTTATCATCACATTAATTTTCCAATTGTTAACCAATAAATGCTAAGGTGTGAAAGCTGTCAGTTAAACTATTCCCTTGTTTGCCATTAACTCCCCCCTTTATTGGAGACACATTCATATTGAAGATGAGACAATATGCATATAAATGCATAAAAATATAATAAAAAGAAGAAACAATAAGAATGTGTCGTGTTTTATCATGATTATTTCCATTTGGCTCACTGATATACAGACAATAACCGTTGAAGACGATGAAGGAGAGCTCGATGGTAATTGAAAGGGAGGAATAGAATACAAAATTATGGTAAAGTGGAGAAAGAGTGTCTTTAAGGCGAACAACATGTGCTATGATAATGGTAATAAAAATAAGGTCAAAATTTTGTGACAAAAGAAAAGCAAGGAAAGGAAAGGAAAAAAAATCAATATTCGAGCACTCCGCATACATAAGAATCAATTTGACTGTATATAGATAAATTATTTCACTTTTTTTTTCTATACGTCGTGCACACAAAATCTCATTCATTGTTGTAATAAATTATTTATGAGAACGACTGAACATGGATTTTGATGAAGTAAGATAGGAAGAGATGTGGTGATGGTGTCAATGATTGTGATGACGAAAATAAGATGGATATTTATAGAAATAAAATACTTTATCAAACATTTAAGCTTATATTATTGAATTAAGGAGCTTATTGGATAATCAGGGGGTTGTGAGCTTATCCACGTGCTTTTTTTCATTCTGTATAAAAAGTCGCTTAGCTTAGGGGATAGTTTCTAGTGCTTTCCATAGTTCTCTTCTTTAGAATCGATGTAATACATTGTGGTGTCTGAGCAGAACAGAATCTGGGGTATCAAAGCATATATAGCTCTCAAATATGCCAGTGCCAGACTAAGGCATTTATAACCGAGTGGCTAGGCAAGAGACCGGAAATCTGTATCACTCTTTGGTGAGTACGTGGGTTCAATTCCCTTCTGACCCCCATCTCTCAATTCAATGTAAAGAGCGTATAGATATGACAAAGATCAGCACAATGCTCACGACATTACATACTGATTCAAAAATTAATCTGTAACCATGTTCCTATGTTGACTTTAGATTACAATTCTTATACAATTGTACAGTTCTATGTTCATGTCCGCACATTAAGCTGACATTCCTTTATGACTCTTCTGAGCCAAGTAGCTTTTAGACCTGGCGTTTCTTCCCTTGCGGATTCCATCCAAGGGTGTTGTAACAAATTTGTGTTTCTGTCTCAGCAATGGCATTCTCTCTAGCATTTTTCTTACGAAGTGTATGTCCAGCCCAGTCTTTTCTCATCTGTATCTCCTTATTGATGTCTTGTCGACCTGCTTTTTGTAGAAGCTTCTTATTATTACATACTTTTTAGTGTATAATTAAAATTTGTTTATAAGTCGGAGAAGGGTACCGCAGATAGCATTAGAAACTAGCCCCAATACCCTCACCAAGACACATTTTTTTGAAGGTTATAGTTTTACATCAACATTAGCAATTTCAATCCTACTCGATTCAAAAGGAGCGATGATGTGGCAATTATGCGAAAAGCTGAAAACCTTCAATTAATTATTGCAACATTTAATCGCCTTATGCCTTAATCTTACAGCTTTTTACTCTTATATTAATTTCTTTTTTCAATGTTGTTGTCATGATTACTTAAAAAAATGCTTGAATGACAATTAAAGTTGAATTCGTCAAGAAGTGGTTATCATAAGATACTTTATTGTCTCTTTATAAAGTTTATAGCTGCATATTCTCTCACTTTATTATGCTTGAGCATGAAAAGTTTGCAACACTTTGTAAGGAAAACTTTATCTTTTACTTCCTTTCGGAGATGAGATAATGTTTCTTATGCTGTGGTCATACTCTCTTAGTTTTGTAGTTCATTTTACAAAAGAGCAATAAAACAAATGAAAAACTTAAGAACGACTCGTTTGTGTAAAGTGATGTATTGTAAGGAACTGGAATTTAAGAATCAAGAAAACTAAGCATCAATTCCTTCAAAAAAGCACTTTAGACACTTTAAATAAATTAAAATAATAATAAACTTCCCATCCACCAATCATAAAATTCGCTCACAGTTCAGAGAACTTATCACATCTCACAATGCAATTTTGTCAATTAAAAAGTTATGAAAAGCTGCAAAATTTTAAGCTTCTATAATTTTACATTTTCATAAGATTCATTCAGCAGCGGAGAATGAAGCTAAATCTCATGAGAGCAACCGTGTTGTTATAGTAGCAAATAATTAAACAACTTATTGATGCATAAATACATATATGGTTTGTCACATATTCTACAAATTGGATGTGTTTGTGACAATTGTTAATTGGAAAAGTTTATCTTTGTACATCCTCATTCATTACTATTTGTGCAATATGCTTTTTGTGTGCACAGTTCCAATTTCAAATGTTTAAATTGGAAAAAAATAAAATATTTCAATCATACAAACAACATACTGACCATGTGAATAAACCAGATGAAATAACAAATGACGAAAAGTTTGTATTTTCAATGAGGTTTGGAATAATTTTGGAGGTGCTGATAATGCCTTAATTTGGGTGGAGAACTAATTTATTTAAATGACAATGGATTAGTAATTATTGCTGCGGCAGCTACTGATTACTATTTATGCGCATGGTAAGGCATGAAGCGATTGTGCATCTATTAATTTTTTAGGAACCCTTTGCATCTGTTGATATTTGCTATCAATGCTCAGATTTAATCCATGGAATGCATAGTTTTTTTTTGAAAATTCTCAAAAGATTTTAAGGATGTTCTTTATTTAGCAGCATAATGTGCATTCAAACTGAAAAGCAAAAGGATGTTGATTTATAATTCATGAATTCTACATGACATAGAATCGTAAGTTGAATTTTAAAATTGTATGGAATCAGTGATACTTTTTATAGCAGCTTTCATTTAAATCACCACAAAAATGGACTAAGCTGCTTACAATCGCATTTTGTCATCAAAAGTTATCATATGGATTGATCATGGAATGGAAGAGATTTTTGGAAATTTATAGACAGAACTAGGAATTGAAAATTTATCTGAATAGTGGATTTGGGGTTTAGCACCAGTCAGGGGCGAAGCTAGAAAAATTTTTAAAGGTAAGTTTTTTTATTCGGGTTTAAAAAAGTTCGAGGTTGACCCCAAAAACCCCCTCTGGCTACGCCTTCAGTTCTAGGGCTTTTCATAAGACTTGATTGTTTCCGGAAGTCTCTGTCCTAGAATCAAAGATGGGTTTACAATGCCACCCAGGGAAGCTTTAAAAACAGAACAATGAAGCTAATGCAGGTCGAGCTTACACTCTACGGCATTCTCAACAGACATAAAAAATGTAGGTAGATTTCCTATCCATAGAATATTCCATCAATATCGTGTGAATGAACTGCATGACGTCATATGAACAGAATTGCTGTATAATCTTAGAATTGGAAATCTATTTACGAATTAATTTACGTAAAACATGAGAACCAACTCATTCATCCTACATCTTACCTGAACATAGCTTTAAGCAATTTACATACTTTACAACTTTCAAGTTCAGATACTTCCTAAAATAACATCCGGACATTTAATGTATAAAAGAAGGTCACCAACAAATGTAATTTCCCTTAAGAGATTCTTCGGAAGTAACAAAATGAAGAGAATTTTGCTAATTAATTTTATTAATTACTATTTAATG